CGACGCTGCGGTGCAAGATCATTCCTCCTGAAGATCAGGTACTAGCGACGGTATCCCCTCATGCAAGTTGTCGGCTTACGGTTTTTGCTGGAGGCAATCAGAGTGCGCAAATGGAATGTGTCTCCTCTAATCATGAGGTAGGGGTTAACCTTCAAATGATGCTTGACCTCTCTGCTCGTGTTGTATATCAACACCCTCATCCACTGCTCTCCCGTCTAGTTTGCTTGTGGGTGGGCAAACGCCGCTGGACTCAAAAGAGGGCTCATTTTAAACGAGCTATTGCCAAGGCCAGCAAACAACGGGGCTTCACTGCCAAAGCAGAACGGGAAAACAACTGGAGAGTTACAGGAGGATCCATTGGTGCTATAATCTCTGGCCTTGAATGGAAGCGCCTCCGCAGAATTCTAGGGCTCAATGCATGGGGAGAACAGCTACTTTTCCGCATTAGGCATGGAGCTCTCTCGACTTGGAATCCGATCACACAAGTCCCCGGATGTCCACACTTGCGGTGTGAAGGGCTGCGGCACTTACGGCTACACCACGTATTATTGGAATGTTCGGCCGCCCAAAAACTCTGGAAAGTATTCCTGACTCCTTGGAGAAGACTGGGATTTAGATCCGACGTGTCCAATGGCAAGAACGTATTCACACTTGAACTTCCTGAACTTGTGGGCTATGGACACTGATTGACTCGACATATGCGACTCTCACTTCCAATGAGCTACGCCAGATACGTGAAGCACTATATGCAGTCACGGCAGCATGCTGGAGATTAGGAGTGGCGCTTTTCTTACATGCTACCTGGAGATGGCGCGTCGAATATTTTGACACGCTAAATGACGTGACGGAAGCGCACCAAACAGCTCGTTTCAACTCCCGCCTACAGCAGGGATATCGAACAGTGCATCTCTACTTGAGAGAAGGTAACAACGCCTCAGGGCTTGCCCGTGCTGCTAGCGTTCTTCGCACTGCTCTAAAACGAGGTACAGAGTTGCCAGTCTCAAACTACACTGGCCAAACTCATGGTCGCTATGTAGTATTCTTTGATGGGGGCAGCAGAGGTAATCCGGGCCCCGGAGGTGCGGGTGCGGTGGTGGTAAACATTGGTACCTCTTTAGCCAACGCTTCTGTCTGCTGGGTGGCGAGCACCAGTCTAAAAAGTACCAAAACGACCAACAACAGAGCAGAGTACGTTGGATTGCTCACTGCTCTCACTGCTTGCAAAAGTCATCATTGGACCCCAGTCCATGTCGTTGGAGACTCACAAATGATAATATCTCAGCAACGAAGGCGCAAGCCACCGAAGGCGGCTGCCCTCCGCAACTTATATTGGCGCTGCCGTACCCTGGCAGACGAAATCAATGTCAACTCGTGGACACATCATCTGAGAGCTTACAACAGGATGACAGACTGCCTTGCCAATCTAGCAATGGACACAAGTACCAGCTGCCAAACGGCACCGTTATGGCCCTCTACGGAGCCTTCGAAATGGGCACCTGCCTTAGACAACCTCCCCAATGACCTTAGTCACTGGCTGGAGAAGAACCTAGATGCTGAGGCTACGGCACCGGTATCACAAGTACATTAATGCTGAAACGCAAATCAGAGCGAAGCTCTGCGGCGAGAAGTGATGGATAAGCACTTCTTGTGACGGCTATTAGAGATCGTTGGATAACCAAGTGAACTCAATATACCTAACTTTCAAA